TTGATTTTAAATATTTGTGTTTTAGCATTTACAGTCATGCAGTTATATAAAGTGAGAGTATATCATATTTTATCAGAAATACAATATCATAACAATGCAATATATCTACGAGCTCTGGGGAGTCCCCGACAATTGGAACTAGATATTGCGGGTATCAAGTAAATGATGATATAATTTTATAAGTAATATTCCTTATTTATTTATTTTTCTTAAAATACAGGTCCATATTTACATATTTCTCTATTTTATAATCTTTTAACTATAAATTGGAACTTAATACTATTGGGAACATTTATAATAGTTTTGTTAATTTGTCAAAATCTTGATCTAGATAGACTATAGAAAGATCTAGTATAGATAAATAATAAATAAATAGACGACACGTTTAGCTCAGTTTGTAGTGACCCTAGTTTCTGTGTCAGCGGTCGCGGGTTCGAGTCCCGCTGGGGGCATTCATTTGTGTGATGAGCATGAATGTTTGTATTTCAGTCATGGGTGTTTATATTTATAATATGTATGTATTAAAATTTATATATTATGTGTAGTGTATCAACTATCTGGGATCCATAACACAAGCCTCGTAGCTTATTATGGAACTAGATGGTGCTGTGTGCTAAATTGTCCTAACATATTTATTTATTTATTTATTATATGTTGGGATTTTAAATAAAACTATCTTTTCGGATTATTTCGCGGATTTATTTTGATTTTTGGTTCCCGACGTTTCGAATGCTTTACAGCAATCATGGTCACGGGAGAGACTGAGGTGTTAGATGTCTCGAAGGTATAGTTGTTACAGACAGCCTACCCACAAATAACCAAATGAAAATTACAGCAATTACTTTACAATATTTTATAACTTTAAAAATGTTTATAATTTTAACTAGCATTGCCCGCGGCTCCGCCCGCGTTCAGATGACCAAAAACCAAATTCTTAGCGTTTACATATTAGTATACTCTATTTATATTTCCATTTATTACTACTATTATCTATTTCCAAAAAATATTTAATGTACAGATTTGATTCAGTTAGAATTTTATTATATGTATAGATTCGTTTTATAATTGAATATGGAATATTATTTATTTAATTTTTGCTGTTATCATTATAATTATTACAATTTTAAAAATATTAATTAGTAATCTATATTTAGTGTCGCCATTATTATATTTATAATCATAAAGAAAAAATATAAAATATAATATTATTTAAGCCACATAATTGTTCTATGTGTAATATAAAAAAAGTTAAAATTAATTAAGAATAATAATTTTAATTTAGTTTGCTATTCTTTAAAAAGACAATTTACTAAGCAACACTATGACTATATACTTTTACAAATGAAAAATGAAAAATATTAATCTGAAATGCTATCATTCTGATCCACACAGTAAGAACTTACTACATCTACCTGCCTGTTATGTTATATACTGGGTATATATTAATGTTATCGGTCTAGTAAGTATTTCCTGACTTCGATTTCTAAGTTTTCGTTTCATGACACACTCAGTAAGCCCATACCTAGTGCGCTGTCATTTCTGAGCCTTATCTCTCACAGACCGCGTCGAGATATTGTACCAGAATATGAGATTAAGATAATAGAGGATATTGCGTACTTGTGTTTGCTCCCTCACTATAATACATAATATGTATGTCACCGTAACCGTGTTCAGTTAGAAGAACATAATTTTTTTTAATTCTAATCAAGACGTTTTAGTTAATTGTGTCAATCAGCTATCTCTTATAAAGATATCAGTATATACATTATATGTGTAAATATACTGAAGTGGATATTTGTATGAATAAATACTTCTACTTGCAATGTCTTTATCTTTACTAATAAACCGACTTCCAAAAAGGAGGAGGTTTTCAATTCGTCGGAAACTTTTTTTTAATGTATTTTCACCGATTACTCGAAGACGCCTGAACTGATTAGGATTTGTTTTTGTTTCGAAGGGTATACTTCCCAGGGACATGGGAAGTATACCATAAGTATACCATGGGACCACCCATTTAAATTTTAACGAAATCAGTCGAGCGGTTTTTAAAAAAATCAATAATAAATTATTTTTTTTTAATAAATCGCCTAATCGAATATCTTATTAAAAAACTTTCTTATTACAAATTACCTGCTTTTTACATGTACACTAACAATGGAAAAATAAAAACTTTATAAAATAAATAAAAACCGACTTCCAGGCACTAAGCCAGGTGACAGCCGACAATATTTTAAGATATGAATATTAAGATATGAATAATCTAATAGGTAAATATGATTTGGTATGAACTCTAATTACAGTTAAAAAATTATACATCAATTTGTGATGTATTTTAGGTATCGAAATATATTAGATTTGCTTTGCATCGACTGACACCGACTACGAAAATATCTGATTAGGTATCTATTCTAAATGAAGACCTCCGTTTAGTTATTTTTTACCTAATACCGCCACGGTCCACCACTTTGGCCAAATGTGGCTGATTTTACACGTCTTTCAAAAATTAGTTAGGTTCTCATACAGGCAGGTTTCCTCGCGATTCTTGAATTCACCGTATTAAAAATTCCAACAGTTAAATTAATTATAATTAATCTTGTTTTGAATATCTTTATTAATTATTATGTTTATTACTGTTATATAATACCATTACCGAGCATAGGAAAAACTTAACTTTACCATCTATTCCTTTTGTAGAAATTAAATAACATGTGGAGGTATTGAATGCGGGGCCTTTAAAATTCCATCAAGATATCATTTTCGTGAAGAATGTTAAGTATACGTGAAGTGCCCATATAGTCACTTTGCTTTTCTGAAACTTGCTTGAGTTAATTAGACTTGAGAGAATGGTGTATGTATAGAGGTGACCATCTATTGATATCATATCACATCACTTTTTTCAACTCTATTGATTATCTGTTTATTGTTTTAAAAGCGACTAAAAGTGTAATGTTACGGTAAATTGGAAATAAATTGGGATTCCAGAGCCGAAATAAAATGTTTTGTAGAGAAATTGTTTTTTAATTTTTGATTAACTGTGTGAACTACCCTCTTGTCACCCGGATGCATCACCGGGTGCCCAAAAGTAGCCTACTCTCATTGTTTGTATACAAAATTTAATCGAAATTGATCCAGCTGTTTCGCTTTATTCTTTTCTACTTATCTCTATACGTACGTAAACAGTTTAGCTCACTTCACACCTTACAGTGGTAATAACTAATGTATACGTAAAAACTAAAAACAATATAACCATTGTATTGCAAGTGCCCAGCTTCAATTTCCGATTCCAGAACCTTATACATACATTAATATTGCTTTGCCATCAGTATTAAGTCTGGTTCCAAAAATTTTATTTGTAACTAGCGATTCTCTCTCGCTTCGCTCGGGTTCGTGCCTACGTACATTTTTTTTTTTTGAGCGGAACCCTGATTCTTTTACTGAAATAAAAGTAGCCTTAGTTACTTCTTATAACATCAACTACCTGCCAGTGAAAGTCCTATCAAAATCGGTTGTTTCGGAGATTAGCCGGAATAAACACACAGACAAAAAAAAATTAAAAGTTGTGCTTTTCTTATAATACCGTATATAATTCCATACACATTTAGTAAAAAACTGTTATTTTGACATTACAAACAGACACTTCAATTTTATTTATCTGTATAGATGTATACCTAGCCCAAGGACTATGTTTATGGAACATATATAAAATCCTTGACCTAGCCAATGGTAAGCAGGTTAACATTAATTACTAGAAAATAAATAAAACTATTTAACATAAATACCTAGAATAATAGATATAGTTTATAGGGATTAAATTTAATCGATCGACTCGTTCTTGTATTTGTTATCGATATTTTTTCTCACATTATCTGTAGAGGATGGATTTGATAAACAAGTAAAGTGGGTAATTGAAATACAGAATGTTATATTTAAATTAAATGGAATAAAACTGCATGTTATGTGAGAGCGTGATGATGAGTATTTTATTTCGTTCAGTAATTTAAAATATGCATTTTTAGGGCACTTATAAATTTTTATTATTGTTTTCATCAATAAATATTTTGTATCTATTACTATTTTCTGCGAGCGACTTACCACACAACAATGAGTGGCTGTAGACTGTAGAATATACACCTATCAAAGTAACTGACGATATTTTTTTAATTACTTTAGCGATAGCTGGATTGATATAAAATTGCTGAAATTTAGTAGATAAATTTTTCATGTGAACCAATAAATATTTTCGTCGTCAAATTATAAAAAATTAAACAGTACGGGTGTGTTTGTCGTTTGACATTGATTGTTTTTGTATCCGTTTGGATACAAAAATAAAGCCGCCAATAAAATGTATATTGTAGAAAGGTATTGTTTTAATTACGTATAATTACGCACTGTTATAAATACGTACGTATTTTGTTTTATTTTAAATTTAAAGTAACAACTAAAATAAAAGTAGTACTTCGAGCTACGGAACTACGTACATATGTAAGTGAGTCCGACTCGTACTTGTCGTATGTTTTAGCTTTCATATCAATCGTATATCATAGATATTATTTATAAATAAATATATTAGCTGTTGTCACGAGATTCAGTAGTAAATTCATTTACAAAAAGTAATAAAAATATTTAAAGGAAACTGGGCTGTTTCATTATGATTGCATGGATTACTGATCATTTGACCTTTAGGTCAAATTAAATACAAAAATTAAAATTAGTTAAATTTGTCGCATTTTTATCAGTTACTCAATCGACCACGCTGTAAAGCCAAGCTGCGGGTCATGAAGCAACTCGTGCGGCGCCAGGTTGACGGACATCACTTTCATTTCATTCATGTTCATATCCAGGACATTCTTAATTTTAAACAAGTCAGTAGCTAATATATTATCAATGTATTAATTTAAAACACCCTATATAGTATTAACGTGTATATAATAATTGTAATCAGAGGCTTGATTCATTATTTATGAAAGTAACATCGACTGTGTCGTATTGGTTGCATCATCATGCGGCTGGCACTTGCCCTTGCTGGGCTCCTATTCGTCGTCGCACTAGCAGGTAAGTTGTAGCGATCCTAACATATAATATGCTTTATACTTTACTGTTAGTAAATCACTCAAATAAAGATATTCAGAATTTAAAAATTCAAACTGGTTTGAACTTAAGTTTTAAATATACTTTGCGGCCGACCGACAATATCTGCTATTTTAAAAACTACTCAACGAACTTAAAAACTATGTTGACCAAATGAGATTATTTTTTATAATTCAGCCCTACAGTTATAGCCATAGTTTCCTCATGTCCGACGGACAGTCAGACATGGTGAAATTTATGGGTTCTGTTTTGATCTTTGAAAAACCGTTTTTTTCACTAATCGTAAGTCCTGTACTAATCTTGCACGTTCTTCAGTGGCTTTTCGCAATATGCTACGGATTGATTTTTTACGAATTCCTTTTCAGTCTTACTAGACGTCTATAATGTATATATAGGCTTACAGCCTACGAGTAGGTAGTAACCATTTTATGTACAGAATTAAATTAGTCTATGGTAGTTTCTGGCTCGTAAGCTTTCTTATTTTACGTCGGCCGCTACTCTCTTTTCCCAAATCCATATTGTTTATGATTATAATTAATAGGTAAGTGTTTGTTCATTTTTTGTTATTTCACGCCGAGAAAGGTCCACGGATTCATGTGATTATTTCAATAGATATAGTTAGATGGTTGTAGAGTGACATAAGCTATTTTATAGTGTGGGATATTGAGATTATTTCCACGTGAAAACACAACAATTTGAATGCATATTATAATGCAAAAGTTAAGTACCAAGTAGCACGTATGAGTCACGAGTGTATTTCGTACGTATTTAAGTAGATAAATGTACCTTTAATAATTGCTGAACAAGTCCCTGTGCAGTAGTGGCAAGTGGTAACGTCACATGCCTTCACCTTCACCGTAGACAGTAACCCTTTACACAATACTAGAACTTAATACAATTTAGACGTAAAACTAAAATAAATTCTCTAGTTTATGCATTTACGTGTTTGTGTCACTGGAATAAATAACACGAATATATCTTCGGAACATCCTAAAGACTCATTTGATTTCCATTATAACAAAATATTTAGTTTTCTTTAAACTTGAGTGGAGTTCAAGATATCCATTTTATCGATTCCAATAAATAATCACTAAGCAATTGTTTCAAAGATAAATATGTACTAAATAACACTTGATTCAACTAAGTCATCATTTTGCAATCTTTTGTGTTAACATCGTTGATAAGATACCATCTCAAGTGCGCCGAGATTCTTGCTGTCCTGCAATGATATATAAACTAATACCGTTAACATAATCCATATTCCCTGATGCTACAGAATTACCCCTAAAATTAATCATTATATGTTTATTGTTTAGACACCTTACAAACGAACCAGCTGACTAAATAAAACAAAATGTTACCTGTTAGTGCCATAACTCGGTTTACATTTTATTATAAAACTAGCATTGCCCGCGGCTCCGCCCGCGGTTAGATTACCAAAAACCAAATTCTTAGGTTTTATATATTCGTATACTCTTACATTGCAGTTTTTGTAATTTTTCTCAGAAATGAGATATTTTCCCGCGGTAAAAGTATCCTATATATTGACCCGGATAACCAGCTATCATCATACCGAATTTCATCAAAATCCCTCCAGTTGTTTTTCCGTGATGCGGTAACAGACAGACAGACAAAAATTCTAAAAACTATAGATTCGGCCTCTGTATCGATAATAATGTCTATTTCAATAAGATTTTCCGAAAAATATTTAATGTACAGATTCGGCTTAGTTACAATTTTATTATATGTATAGATGGAGAAATATCAAAAATAAAACATATATTATGAATATCAGTTTCATCATTGTTTCTTACTCGTATACCTCCAGTGTCGATATAATTGCAGCGAAAGTGGAATGAGAAAGTTATTTTAATGTATTTTATTTTAGCTTATGTTTGTTTGACACCGATTATATATTAATAACTAAATCAATTATATTGCCTAATTATTCACATCAGATATGTAGCTAATAGCTATCAATTTCGTGGTCGTACATAATATATTACGACGCATAAAATTACTATCAGAAAAAGTTAAATAATTTGTTTTAGATTAACTATTTTACTTAAAAAAAGTGTACTGGAAAGATGAGAAGAAGCTGACGAAGGCACATAGTATTATACCGTCGGAGTAGAAGTGGTATAAATCATAAGTCCTCCCCTAAGTTGTTAAAGAGAGTTGTTACTTGTTAGCAGAGCTTTTCTAACTCACCCCCTTCTGTTGGGTTTTAGTGGGTAAGTCAGCACTGGGTTTTCTAGCCAGTGAGTCCCACATAGCCACCTGTATGGATACAGGTGGTATGCGTAAATGCATTTGCCAACATTGAAAAAGCTACTCTAACTTGAAAAAAACATTTTAAAGGCTCTTCTTTACTAATATTATAAAGAGGTAAAGTTTGTGAGTTTGTGACGTTGTAGGGGGTAATCTTTGGATCTACTGAATCGATTTGGATGAAATTTGTTTTGAGACCCTGGGAAGTACATTGGATACTTTTATCCCGGAAATTATCCCTTAATTGAGTGAAAATGGGGATGAAAGTTTGTATGGGGAATCAAGCTAGGGACGAACATAAGCGATGCGAGGGTGAGTAGCTAGTGTTAAATATATTTACATCATCTTATCTGTGAATAGTTTAACCTTAACGTAAGTTTATATGTTAACGAGTGTGCGCATTATTGTTTTTTTTTTATACTATTCCGAATTAGTGCTTGACTACGTTCCACCTGATGGTAAGTGGTAACGCAGTCGTAGATGGTAAGTCGCACTAATTCAGTAGCCACCTATTCACTCTTGCCTTGAAGACACCCATATTATAATCGGACGGAAACACCGACGCAGGCAGGTTGTTCCAATCCTTAGCCGTACGTATAATAAATGACGTAGCGAAACGCTTCGTGCGGACGGGTGGAATGTCCACGACATAAGGATGGAGACCAGCCGTTCGTCGAGTTGTCCGATGATGGAAAGGGGATGGGGGAATTAATTCATGAAGTTCCTGCGCACACTCTCCGAAATGTAACCTATAGAATACACAAAGGCTGGCAACCCTACGTCGGTGATCGAGGCTTTGTAAGTTAGCTTTTACCAGCGCAGGGTCACCTATAAGCCTTTGAGCACGCCTCTCAATCGAGTCCAAGGCTGACAGATGGCATTTCGCAGCACCAGCCCATATGTGGCTACAGTATTCCATACACGACCGGACTTGCGCTTTATATAAAACAAGAAGCTGTCCCGGCGTGAAATACTGTCGGACCTTTGCAAGGATGCCAACTTTCCTCGCAGCTACATTAGCCTTAGACTCGATGAACCGCCCGTAGTTCATGTTGGGGCTGATGTCCATCCCTAACAACTGCAGACGTTCTGTGTATTCCAAAGGCACATTCCGGAAAGTAGGAGTCAAGGTGAAAGGACTCCTTTTAGTGGTGAACAGGCACGCCTGTGTTTTGGTGGCATTGAAACTCACAAGATTGGCATCGCCCCAAGTGGAGACTGCCCTGAGTGTGAGATTCAACCGCTCTACCATGGCCTCTCTTTCGGACTGAATTTGATCTCTACTGGCCCGAGGATTCGGCAGGTATCTCTCTACAATAGTGCTGTCGTCTGCATACCCATAGATACCGGGTATAAGCAGATCGTTGATATGCAGCAGAAACAAGGTTGCAGAGAGAACAGACCCCTGAGGAACTCCTGAGTTGGTCTTTAGGGGTTGTGATGAACAACCATCAACCACAACTCTGAGTGATCGGTCGCTCAGGAAGTCTTTAATCCAGCCGATCAGGCCAGGAGATATGCCATAGGCTGAAAGCTTATTTATAAGGCTAGCGTGCCAGACCCTGTCAAAGGCCTTTGAGACATCGAGGGAGACGGCAATCGCCTCCCCGCTTCGGTCAATAGTTTCGCCAAAGGTGTGATTGGCATACACTAGAAGGTCCCCAGTCGACCGATTCCGGCGAAACCCATATTGTCGATCACTGAGGAGATCGTTCTGTTCTAGGTATGCCATAAGACGAGTGTTCAATACACGTTCCATAATCTTGCAGAGTATGGAGGTGATTGAGATCGGACGATAATTGGCAGGGTCAGCACGGCTTCCTTTCTTGGGCACTGGTTGCACATTGGCAAGCTTCCAGGATTTAGGCACTATTCCAGTCTTAAGAGAAAGGCGGTACAGGCGTGTCAGTATCGGAGACAACTCGGGAGCACATGTTTTAAGAACTATCGCTGGTATACCATCAGGACCACTGGCTTTATTCACATCTAGACGACACAATACTCTCTTAACCTCCTTATTAGTTATCGCAATCTCAGGCATTGAGATCCCGCAGTGAGGTAGATGTGGTGGAGTAGCATTGCCAGAGTCTAGACATGAATTTTGGGCAAAACAAGAGGCAAGCAAAGTCGCCTTTTCCTCTGCCGTATGAGCCAGGGATCCGTCAGATTTTAACAGCGGTGGCAGTGAGGGCCGAGAGAAGTTCGTCTCGACAGCTTTGGTAAGGGACCAAAAAGCTTTGCTGCCAGATGGTTGGGCAGAGAGCTTTGCGCCAAAATGTGTAATTCGGTCAAGACGAGCCTTCTTTAATGTCTTTTTGTGGGACTTGGCGGCTAAGTTAAAGGCTCTCTTCTTGGATCTTACATCCGGAGCTTTGCGGTCTCGAGCATCAACCCAGGCAAGGTAAGCCGATTGCTTACGCTTTTCAGCAAAGGTGCATTCGGCATTAAACCATGGGCGAGCTTTGCCACCAACGGGTACATCAGAGAACGGGATAAAATATTCCATCGCTTGATGCACCACATCAGTTATAGCATCCGCACAGCTCGACGGATTGGAAGAAGAGAAGCAGACCTGCCGCCAAGGAAAAGATGCAAAAAAATGTCGCATCTCATCCCAATCTGCTGACTTGTATTGCCATACTCGTCTAACGCCAGTAGAATCGTTATCTGGTGGAGAGTAAGACGATACAGTTTTTACCAGACAGTGGTCAGAGCTACCCAATGGGGATGAAACCTGGATGTTATATCTGTCTGGATCAGTTGTCAGCAGAAGGTCCAGACAATTAGCTGAGTGGCCATCTAAATCGGGTACCCTTGTCGCTTGTTCAACCAACTGGGAGAGTCCAAGTGATACCGCAAACTTCCACGCTTCTCTCCCAGCATGGTCCCGTCTTCTGGTATGGGAACAGCCAATCTTCATGATGGGCGTTAAAGTCCCCCAGAAAGACAAGCTGCGCGGTGGGGTACCGTTGCATAGCCACATCAGCGGCCTCACTGAGATGTTCAAACAATCGAGTTGTCTCCTGGTCACCTGTGTGCGATCGGTAGACACAGGAATACAGGATCTTTTCGATTCCTGTATCTACGATAACCCAGATCGTAGAAAATGTGTGGTCTTCAAGGTGGCGGAGGCGCTGGAAACAGAGGTCATTTCGCACGTACAAACAGACCCCGGCCCGTGAGCTGAAATTATGCTCCAACGTGTAGCCGGGATAGTCCAGGTATTCAGCACTCAATGGACATTGAATCTGCGTCTCCGTCAGAAAGAGCATGTGCGGCTGCGCAGTCTCGAGGTGGAAGTGGACTGATGAGAGATTTGTGTGCAATCCTCGGATATTTGTGAGGTGCACTTTTAATGAGGGGGAGTGCAACCGCTTAAAAACATTACTCTTTTTTCGGCTTTTCATGTAATTTTTTTAATGGAAGAGTGAATAGGATGGAGAATGGCAGTTGAACGAGGCGCTGTACGAGCCTGGCGGTGATATTGATGATGTCATGTCACAGAGGGCTTAGTCTGGAGACTGCGGGGACGCCCGAACCCCCCCAAGGATCGCCATCGGGCCCCCTCCCCTGGTCGCCAACCAGCACGATGGAGCCACCCTGGGATTTTTCACAGATGGCGGGGCAGCCTTTCATGGGTGGCTAGCCCACTAGTTGGGCCCCCAACTGTCTGCGGTCGGCCAGCGGCAAGCCGTGCTTCGGATCCCGCTACCCTCCGCGACTAAGCTCTCGACACAACAAACAACAATACACCACCAACACGGCTAGTGTACAACACAACTATTCAGACCCATTCTCCATACGGCTTCATCAGCCTCGACATGCCGGAACGCGCTGTTGGGCGCTTGGCGGCACGACTTCTGCTGACGGGTGGTAACCGTGCCGTCGGCCGATGTTGAGGCCTACCACCGCGACTACCATGGTGTTCGGTAGTTTGTCCCTTAGTCGCCTTTTACGACACCCACGGGAAGATATGGTGTGGCCATATTCTAATTGCCGTAGCCACACAGCAGATTATATTGATGAAGCGATATGACGGTGATGTGACCGACGCCACGTCGCAGGGTGGCGGCGGGAAACGTGCTCGTCATGCAAATCTAGATAATGTAATGGCTTCTTAACATAAAAATTAAACTAAACTCAATAAAACCTACAATGAAAAACAACTTCAAACGATCTTGGCTCAATTTATAAAATGGTAAATATAATAAAAGTTTTGTTTGGATTAGGTTCGAATATATTTCAAGGCTTTGATACATCCTAAGAAACCTAAGAACTTAGTTTTTATTTGACTACTTATTACCAAAGTCCCGCTATCCACTTTTAAAATTCAGAAAAATAAAAATAATTAATTGTTATTAATCGTTTTTTCATAACATCATTGTACTCAGATCTATTATAAAAAATATTATTTAGTCTAAAATAAATATTATTAAGTATATAGGTACGTCTTATGTCGACATTAATATATAATTAAAAATTAAAATATAATCAAAAATTAATATATAATTAAAAAATATAGTAATTAAATCATCAAATTGCTTGTGCTATTGCTGCATGGGTCTAATTAAGTTAATTTTCATAGACAATATTCATTTTCGTAAATAATATAAACTTCTAGTATATCAATTCCAATATCAGTGCAACATGCATTGTATCAACACTAAAACATCGATCGGGTTTGCAGTGATTATTCCATGTCCTTGCATCTATCACGCCATTGACGGTGGGTTATTTATGTAGTGTTAGACCTCGCAAATTACAAGTAAACTCGAACATCTATACATAAATAATAAAACTCTAACTGAGCCGAATCTATACATTAAATATTTTTTTGAAAATCTTATTGAAATAGACATTGTTATCGGTACAAAACCGAATCTATAGCTTCTTAGATTTTTTGTCTCTTTGTCTGTCTATGCCGCATCACGGAAAAACCACTGAAGGGATTTTCATGAGATTTGGTATAATGATAGATCTGGTTATTCGGGTCAACATATAGGATACTTTCTACTGCGGGAAAATATCTCATCTCTGAGAAATCTATAGTAAACGTTAAAATGTATCTGTATTTTATATAAAACATAGCAGTCCACTGACTGAGTTTTTTCTATTGAGAACTTTTTCATAAAATCACACTTATTGAATTCAAGGTGGCCAATTCTAGGATATTACTTTTTTTAGTTAACGTATCGAATGTGACATCATACAATTTTTAAGAATATTCTGTATATTTGACATAAACGAAAGATGGGTTTTGTTATAAAAGAAAAGTACAAGTTTAATACGTATATGGGACGTGGCCTTCGGAGATTCGAGATATTTAAAAAAATTAAAATATTAAGCAATATTATTGTCCAATATTCACGTAAATCTAAGAAAGTATTATTTACTCGAATCTATTGGACGGTTACAACTATAAGAAACAACAAACACTTGCTCTTCTTTGCATTTAAATTTTCAATATGACTAGTAGGTTGTAATATAGTGTTATATTATTTTGAAATTTTCTTTATTTTAAATACGTAAATAAAGATACCAACCATTTCTATTTATGGTATGTATACAACTTCCCTATTAAATTTTTCATTGGTTTTAAATTTTTTTTGTGGGACCCTATTTTTTTTCTAAAATAAAAGTAGTCTAAGTTACTCTTTATTACATCAGCTATCTGCCAATGAAAGTCCCGTCAAAATCGTTCCAGTCATTTCAGAGATTTGCCGGAACAGACAGACAGACTAAAATTGTATAAAATGTTGTTTTGGTATATGTACCGTGTATACATCCATATGCATTTAGTAAAAAGCTGTTATTTTGTCATTACCAACAGACACTTCAATTTTATTTATCTGTATAGATATATAGAATTACCAAATATCATCAAACTCCTAAAATAAATGTGAAAATTTGTATGTATGTCTGTTACTCCTTCATGACGAAATAACGTAATGGATTTGAATGTTTAGTACACAGATAGAATATTACCTAGAGTAGCGAAGCTAAGTCGCTAGTATACTATATGTTTGTAATATATTCATTAAATATTATTTATATATATTTTAACGATAGAAATTGTAGCATGTGGACTTTTTTAAATATTTGATGCAATGCCTAAAATAGTTACATGTACTAAGTATCAAATGTTTAAACTTTATTCTTTAACTTTATTCTTGTTTTAAATTTATTCTTTTTTTAAATTGCTTTGACAGCTGCTGCTGATATACAATGTTACGTGTGTGACGATTGTGAAAGCGATTTCAAAAATAATGCTAAAACATGCGAAGCAAGCTCAGGTAATGCACAGGAAGGTAATGCACCGGGAGGTAATGCACAGGAAGGTAATGCACCGGGAGGTAATGCACAGGAAGGTAATGCACCGGGAGGTAATGCACAGGAAGGTAATGCACCGGGAGGTAATGCACAGGAAGGTAATGCACCGGGAGGTAATGCACAGAAAGGTAATGCACCGGGAGGTAATGCACAGGAAGGCAATGCACCGGGAGGTAATGCACAGGAAGGCAATGCACCGGGAGGTAATGCACAGGAAGGTAATGCACCGGGAGGTAATGCACAGGAAGGTAATGCACCGGGAGGTAATTCAAAGGGAGGTAATGCAGAGGGAGGTAATGCAAAGAAAGGTTATGCAGAGGGAGGTAATGCAGGGGGAGGTGAAACAGGGAGTAATGCTGGAGGCAGTGAAACAGAGAAGGGTAATGCAGGGGGAGGAAATACAGGGGGAAGTGGTGGTGAATCAGGCCAGAGTTACTCCGCAGATACTAGCCCAAGCAAAGGTGCTCTTAATGAAACACCACGAGCAGTTCACATTGATAAAAGGTCTATTCAGGTAAAGTATATACATAATATACGAAAAAAATTTTCTCTATAAAGATTTGTTCATCACAGTTCGTTAAAGTTCACACTCTGTAACTATTATTATTTGACGACATGTTTGGCTCCATTTATAGTGACCCGACTTTCTGTGCCAGCGGTCGTGGGTTCAAGTCCCGCTAGGGGCACTCATTAGTGCAATGAGCTCGAATGTTTGTACTCCAGTCATGTGTCATCAAAAATATTCATTAGTAATCTATATTTAGTGTTACCATTATTATATTTATAACCGTAAAGAAAAAATATAAGATATAATATTATTTATTTAAGCCACATAATTATTCTATGTGTTAAATTACACAAAAGTTAAAATTAGTTAAGAATAATAATTTTAAATTAGTTTGCTATTATTTAAAAAGAAAATTTACAAATGACAAATGAAAAATATTAATCTAAAATGATATCATTTTGATCCACACATTTTTAAAATTGTAATAATTATAATGGTAACAGCAAAAATTAAACAATATTCCATATTCAATTATAAAACTAATTAAAATTATAAAAATGTTTAAAGTTATAAAATTTTGTAAGGTACTTGGTGCAATTTTTCATTTTGTTATTTGTGGGTAGGCTGTCTGTAACAACTATACCTTAGATACATCTAACACCTTAGTCTCTCCCGTGACAATGATTACTGTAAAGCATTTGAACGTCGTGAAACGTCGGGAACCAAAAATCAAAATAAATCCGCGAAATAATCCGAAAAGATAGTTTTATTTAAAGTGTCAAATATTCGCGTAAATCTAAGAAAGTATTATGCAATACGGTACAGTTCAATTTATTTGATGTGTTCAAGGAAATCTATACTAATAATAAAATTCGGCACAAATTCAGAATTGGGGACTTGGCCCCTAGCGGAGTGGGTGGTATTTCTGGATAAGGGACGTGATAGGGAGTCGAAATGTTAAATAAAAATTGTCCGCGAACGTATGAGTAAAAAGTTATTGAGACTTAAAGTTACAACATTTCCATACATTTTCATATATTTCTTTACCACCATTCGGAGTGGGTGGTATTTTTAGATAGGGGAGGTGACAGAGAGTCAAAATATATTAAAAATATTTGGAGGAAACGTACGAGTAAAAAGTTATTGAGACTTAAAGTTATAACATATCTAACACATTTCCATACATTTCTTTACCTAAATAAGTGATTACAACAGATAAACATACCTTTAACGAATAGTACGCATCCTTTTTTATGTACATTACACATTTTCACAACAATTAATGCTTTATTGTATTTAATATTTTAATAATTTCACAACACAAAATGATCTTACATTTTGACAAAAGCAAAACTGACACTTTGTTTTATATTACCGCTTAAATGACAACAGATTATATTTGATTATTTTTGCTTTTTCTGTTGGTAAAATATTAATATTAATAAATAAATAAATAAAAAGAAAAATATTATTTTCATTTCATAAATACATTTATGATTTTTTATCTGATTTATGTAAAATATATTGTTTTACAATTGTACATTTAGTAAAAAAAAAAACATTTTTTTATCTATGAATATTTTTCAGTATTATTGGCGGGTGTTCTTAAAATACCGCAAAGTTTCATAATTTGTGACTCTGTACTCTGTGTATTTTCCATTAGTTATTAGTTTTTGTTAATTTTTATATACTTTCGTTTCTTGTTTTTGTTTTAATATTATTTTTATAGTTTTAAGTGTTCATAGTGTTAGTGTAAACAATTTATAAACGTGAGTAGACTATTTTTAAAATCTAAATGTATTATTTACTTTTGGTTTTTATTTTGCGACATCGTGGTTAGTTTAAGACATAGGTTATTTATTTATTATTCGTCATATCTTGGTTAGGTTAGGTTAGAACATTTAAGATTATTTATTTATTATTCCTCATATCTGGGTTAGGTTAGGTTAGAACATTTAAGATTATTTATTTATTATTCCTCATATCTGGGTTAGGTTAGAACATTTAAGATAATTTATTTATTATTCCTCATATCTGGGTTAGGTTAGAACATTTAAGATTATTTATTTATTATTCCTCATATCTTGGTTAGGTTAGGTTAGAACAGTTGCCACAACGCACGAGCCGAGCGAGCGAAGCGAGCGTGCCGCGGTAGCGGCCGGCGAGTGCCATAAATGACTAGAAAACTAGAAAATTCGAATTTCACGCAAAGTACAAATAAAGACAATCATCTGGAGATCATTTTGACAATTGAAAGTGACGTTTTGACTCCAAGTGTCTAAATGGTAGTAATGTCAAAATAATGTATGGAAATGTTGTAACTTTAAGTCTCAATAACTTTTTACTCATACGTTCGCGGACAATTTTTATTTAACATTTCGACTCCCTATCACGTCCCTTATCCAGAAATACCACCCACTCCGCTAGGGGCCAAGTCCCCAATTCTAAACGGCCGCCTAAAATTCTAAGTTAAATCTGTATATTAAATATTTTTTAGAAAATCTTATTTATTTATTTATTTATTTTATTAGGATCTCCAACGTTAGTACACAAAAAACTTACACTAATACATTAACAATACTTAACCTATATGCACTCACAATTATAGGAGAACACAACATGCTTCATATTTTATAAAAATATCTTAAAACTTTACATTATATTAAAGAGTTTACTTAATTTTTTTAATAACAATAATTAGTATTATTTTTTATTAGTATAAAAAAGAACCTTAAGAATAGAATACACAATTTACTACAAATATTATATCGTACTGTAACAATTCTCACATTTTTTGGTAAACGCTGACAGGCTATCATGCCCTATGTCTAAGCCCGAGTCATGGGCCTCACACAAGTTATATTCTATCGACATACGAACCAGCGGCGCGTTTCTACCTAATTTAGTTTTACAAGCACCATATGTAAAAAATGCACGTTGGTGCCTAGGCGGCGCGTGAGGTACATTTATACATAGCTCATGTAATAAATGCGGACTGTCAATGCCGTTATTAAATAATTTATGTAAAAATTTTTGGTCTAGTATAGATCTACGAGCATACAGCGATTGCATTCCAAAATATTTAAGTTTTTTGTAGAATGTTTCAAATTCTTGTGGGATCTTGTAACGAAATGCTAAATGTCTAATAAACCGCTTTTGAACTCTTTCAATCCTGTCTATATGCACTTTATACGAGGGATTCCATACCTGGCAACAATATTCCAATTTACTTCTTACAAAACAGTTAAATAATTTTATTATGGTAAAGTAATTTTTAAATTCCCTGGACTGACGGAGGACAAAACCGAGTGATTTAAATGCCATAGTTACGATTGAATCTATATGTTTATCAAATCGTAATTGGCTGTCAAAATATATTCCCAAATCACGAACTGTATTACAACTTTTTATCACTTGATCAGAAATATAATAAGAAGTAAGTATTGGTTTTTTCTTTCTAGTAAAAGTAACGTGGATACATTTGGAAGAATTCAAAAACATATGATTATATTTACACCAACTAATCAAACTATTAATGTCCTCTTGTAGCGAAATTATATCCGATTCATTTTTAATAACCTTTACTATTTTAAGATCGTCAGCAAACATGTACGCATTCGAAGAAGTAAATAAGTCAGCCAGGTCATTTACAAATAGAATGAAAAATAATGGACCCAAGTTTGATCCTTGAGGGACCCCGGATGTAGCACTAAAAGATTCTGAGTGGCTTCCGTCAATCACTACACATCCTTTCCTATTATGAAGATAAGACCTACACCACGATAAAAATAAGCCCGTAATACCGAAGCTCTTAAGTTTTTCCAAAAGTATATTATGGTCAACCTTGTCAAAAGCTTTAGAAAAATCACTATATATTACATCTACTTGTTTGTTATCATCCACTGCCTTTATTAGATTTGTTACATATGAGAGTAGATTAGTATTTGTGGACCTTTTGGCAATAAATCCATGTTGGTGTTGGGACAAGTAGTGTTTTACATGGTCAAAGACGAAAGGATAAATAAGTGATTCGAATAGCTTAGACACAGTCGATAAAATTGAAATAGGTCGATAATTACAAATGTCCTCCCTCTGGCCATCCTTGAATATAGGTTATTAAAAAATTGAAACTTTTTACGGCAGAAAAATATCTCATTTCTGAGAAAAAATATAAAAACTGGTTAGAATAAAAAAATGATCATACTATATAGATTTTAGCAAGTTAACTTACAAAATATGTCAAAAACTATTAAAAATAGCTAATCTTGATATGAATAATTAAAAAAAAGTATATCAATAGCACTATTTTATTCATTAAAATAACTTTTTTATCTATAAAAAAAAATATTTATATAATAAATTTAAAATATCTATTTTTGTATTATTTAGATATTTGTCAATAGATGTCGCCATGTGTCTTAAAAATACGTAGTTTTAATTCCAAAAAATTGAATGTACAAATTCGACATTTCTATGATTTTATTAGAAATACTACTAAATTATCAAAAAACAGTATTTTTGGCTTTATAAATTAGCTACATCTATACATACATTAAAATTTAACGAAGCCGTATCTGTGCTTTAAATATTTTTTGGAAAATTTTATTGAAATACACATTATTATCGCTAACAGAGACTGAACCTATAGTCTTAAGAATTTTTGTGTGTCTGTCTGTCTGTGACCGCATCACAGAAAAATCACTGGAGGGATTTTGAAAAAATCCGGGTCAACTAATATACTAATACGAGATAAAACCTAAGAATTTGGTTTTGGTCATATTAACGTGGGCGGAGCCGCGGGCAATGCTAGTACTTTATATAATTATTTATATCAGAATATCTGCTGTTTTAATTAGAAATACTTCTTAGAATTTCTTCTCGGTATTAATAATTTTTTATTCCCGGCTTTTCAAAGGCTTTACAGCAAAAATAGTCTCATAAGAGAATAAGGTTTATGACGTCTCAAAAGTTATAATTACGGAACGAAAGTTAAACAATAATTTGAAATAAAAAGGGAAATAGTACGAAAGTATGTACCTCGTAATTAAAAAAATTATAATATACGAAAATCTGGAAAATAGTTGTATTTGAAAAATAAAGCATTTTATTTAGCTATATCTGTTAATTATATGCCATTTTTTAAAATAATAAAAAAAAATAGATGAATAGAACAGAATAAAGTTTTATTATTATTATTACTATATTACTATACTACAATATACTATATTACTAATCGGAAAAATCCTGCAACACCACAGTTAAAAAGCTTTAATAAAAAAAAAAGAATTCTTAAGAAGTCATAATATTATATTTATTGTATAAATCTGTAAAATTTTATCATTTAGACAAAATATATGTAATACACGTAGTATTTTGACGATAAATGTGCATGTTTAAATTTTAGATGTATGAGAACTCCGCAACGGCGACCCGCGCGCCGTTGTTGAGGTTTGTGCGGCAGGCGGGCGCCAGGGCCAGTGAAGTGCGATGTGTCACTGCTTCCTTCGAAGGTAAATATTAACACAGTTCAACAAGTAATATTATAGAATATAGATGAATATGTAATAAGTTAATACATAAGAAAAAATAAAATATTTACCCATGCATGATATTCTGTTTATTTTTGGCATAAACAAATTTGTACTTCATATTATTACTTACTATAAGAAACAATATTAATTTTGAACCTTGTGAAACGAAAAATATCTCATATCTCAAAAACTACGTATTTTCTCCAAAATAATCTTCATTTCCTTCTAAAGCCTCAAGAGCTTGGAGGCTCTGTTATCTCAATTTTTTCAAACTTTTGTGACATACTTCAAAAATTAGATAGAGAAGGGAGTCAACGACATTAAAGGCACATGTGTAATTCTGCAAATTTGCTTAAACAAAAATTTAGACTATTCAGACTCCTATTTAAAATTGTGTCACAATTAAAATTGTGTCTACTTAAAAATTCATCCTTTATGTATTAGTCTTAAAGTGAAATAGCTGTAACATACGAATAGACGGACAGATAGCCATGGCGAAACTATAAGGTTACTATTAGAGAAATTTCTGCGTGGTGTCTTCTTTCTGTGTTATATATATATACATAACTCTTCAATTATAACTAGACTAGTACAAGTATTTTAAAACATACATAACAACATACTTGTAAAATCTGTGTAATTCTTTTCTTCTAAACATAGTCAAATATAATTTTAATGATGATTTCATTTCAATTGCAACCGCATACTAATTAGATTTTATTAGATAACACTGAATTTTGAGATATTACAAGATATTTTTCCAGTTTTTTGAAATTTTACAAAAAAAAACTATTATTAAATATTAGTAAACGTTTGCAATTCGGGAGAAATCGATATTATTATATCGATATATCGATATGAATTTAATTTTCAGAAAATGGCAAGACAAAAGTGAAGAGGGGCTGCTCTCTGTCGGGGGCTAATGACGCGGAGAGATGCAAGGCTCTGATCGGCTCTACTTCACAAGTGAAAGATTGCAAGGTTTGTGAAGGAAACCTCTGTAATGCTGCACCTAAGCTTGCTGTAGCAATGGTCCCAATTATAATAAGCCTGTTCATTAATTTTTGAATAAGTAGTTTCTTACATTGTTTAAAGAACACTTAAAATTATCTATATGTTCTTATTTGAAACGAAATAAATAATTTTGTACAAATTAAAAGTCTATTATATTTATTGTCTCTTAATAATTGACCAAGATTGTTCGTCTAATTCCAAAATAATTGTATACAATTTAAGTAAAAAATTACATTTAGCCATAGGTTATGTTTATATCTATAATATTTAGATTATTTCTAATAATTGTACATATTATGGCATTCGAGTATTTATAGCAGATCACATCCACGTTTGATGATAATAAAGTAATAAGCATGCAATGATATTTTTGTTCTTAATCTTGTTCTGTTGTTGTTAAATTTGTTCTGTATATAATGAATAATTTACTACAATTATCAACCCTTATACTTCAGCCTGCAAAAATAACACTAATAAATCTGGCTCTAAAATTCAATTCTAGCGTATTGGTCTTGTCAAATCAAACAAAATAAGCCTAAACTTAAAGTATCTACTATTAGCCGTTGAAGAGTTCCACCTATCTACTCGCGCGTACTCTATCCATTATAATATGTCATACACAAATGGCTAGTGTTTGTGAGATTGGCCGCCGTGGCCTAAGCTGGTCAGGAGAATATCATCATTACCTATATGGTTTTGTCGATTTAAAGATTTAAAAAACCTTTTTTAAGGACTATAAAATATTTACCATTTATTATTTTCAATCATATGAAACCGTTTAGAAAGCACATATAAAACTTAAGAACACTTTATTTTTGCCGACTTGCTAGACAGAAATCGTGATAGCTAAAATGGGCTAAAATACACAATACATAAAGACTAATATTATAAAGAGGTAAAGCTTGTGAGATTGTGAGTTTGTGACGTTGTAGGGGGTAATCTCTGGATCTACTGAACCGATTTAGATTAAATCTGGTAAGAAGATAGTTTGAGACCCTGGGAAACATATAGGTACTTTTTTTCCGGAAATCATCCCTTAAGGGGGTGAAAATGGGGATGAAAGTTTATATGGGGAAGCAAGCTAGGGACGAACCCGAGCGAAGCGAGGGTGAGTCGTATGTACAATAAAATTCTGAGTCGAATCTTTACGTTAAATATTTTTTGGAAAAGCTAATTGAAATAGTCATTATTATCGATTCCGAGGCGGATTCTATTGTTTTTAGAATTTCTGTCTGTCTGTCTATCTGGGAATGCATCACGAGAAAACCACTGGACAGATTTTAATAAAAATTTGGTATGATGATAGCTGATTATTTGGGTCAACATATAAGAGTAGGATACTTTTTAATGCGGGAAAATATCTCATCTCTGGTAAATCGATACTAAACCGTAAAACCTAACAAGGGACGAAGCCGAGTAGAGAGAGGGTGAGTCGCTATTAAAGTATATTATTTTCAGCTAACAAAATGTATTTACCTACAAGGAAAATAGTTTTTATGAAAAAATCAAAACAGAAAATTGTATTAAAACACGTAAATAAAGAAAAAGAAAAACGAATTTGTTCGTGAATAAGAATTTAGAGTCTAATCATACTCGGGAATCCAGGCTTTAGGAAAGTTGTTGTATAAAAGTACATAAGTGGTCGTTCTAGAAAATTTTATCGTGATTATCAAAATAATTTCAAACAGCAAATGCTGAAAACGTTTGTGTAATACTTACAATTTTTAATTATTTAACCAACGATAAAAAGGAGGAAGTTCTCAATTCGACTTCTTCGATTCGTTCTATCTCTATAGTAAATGAAAACTACCTATCAATTATGTTTTACTTTTTAGTGTTTGCTTTTGAAGTCGGTTTTTTTTAAGTTTTATTTCATAAGAATATCAGAGATATTTAGACTCGGTACTTGAATCTGCTCCATTTGGTTACTCCAGTGAGTGCGTCACCTGTGGGCTAACACTGTTTTACACTCATTTTTTACATAATTTGTATCCAGCCCTTTTTGACGTCCCACTGCTGGACTTGGGCTGGATTAAAAAGCCTCCATATTTATATTTATATAGTATGTTTGAGAGTGATAACCCTGCTTTGAAGCCCTGCAATTAATTCCATATAGAAAATTACATACATCACAATTTCTTAGGTATAAATTTCATTGCAGCGTGTTTTCCCGAAATAATGAAAATTTTCCTTCCTGTAAAATGTTACTTATACCAATCTCCTTCATACAATGAAATCACGTTGAAACGTTGCTACGTTACGGCGTGTAAGAAAGACAAACAAACAAATTTATTTACGCATTTATCATATTAGTATGGATCACTGAAGAAGAACCTCTGAAAAAATCTCTAGAGTTCCGTAAGTGATAGGTAGCGCCAGCTAACGAAGCGTAGAAAGCAAACTTATATTGTGTTCTTAGGGGAAATCAAAACGTAACTCGGGAGGAATTCGTAATGAATTACTGCTTTATGAATTTGTCTACATACTCGCATCATACTCGTACTAGATGTACAAAATATTGTGACTTACAGAGTACAACTACGAGTTCAAACAAGAAAAACATAATTAAAGTATTTTTTAAGATATTTATAGATATTTATACGATATAAATATTATGTTTCTGAGGCTGTAGTTTTAATAATATATAAAATGAAAAGATATTTAATAAGATAACATAAAGGTTGATGAGACAAGCCAGGCCGTCGGTGGGCGGGCGGTGGTTGTGGGCGGGCGGCGTCGAAGATGGGTATGTTGATGGGCAGAATAGGCGCATATAGACAATCATAACAGAGAGCTATAGCTTCCTAGACAAACAAGTTAATAAAAGGGAATCGTGCGATTGTCGAGAAATTTATTATTATATCAAGTAATTCAGTTTGTCTGTGATTGTATTATTATACAAAGCTAAGTATAATTTTTTTGCAATATTCTACGAGTAATGCCTCAAATAAACTACTTAACATATCGAGAGGAAAAATATTATGCCATTCATATATAATGTAGCTTCCTGTTGGTGAAAGTTTCGTTTCCAATAAGATCAGTTGTATATCTTTAATAAACAAAAGGTACCTACTTCATACTAAGATGGGCGCTGTACTATACGGGTTGCTCCTGGTCTGCTTCGGAGAGTGGTAGTAGTACCTAAGCGAATCTGCAGCGTCCCGTTAAGACGAGAGAGGTTCTGTTGGGCTAGTGATGACAAAAGTAGGTAGTACTGGCTTTTCTAGCCGGTGAGAGGCACGTGACCACCGGTATGTACATACATATACCGGTAGTATGGGTAAATGCATTTCCCAACAATAAAAAAATATTTATTTTGGAATCCCTTCCTCCAACCGTATAAATAGTGCTTGTATAGGATGTCTTTTAAATACTATTCGAAATACTAAATATTATACTAAAGTCACTGGCACTTGAGTGGTGTAGCAAATTTTACTCACTAAGTGAATGCAACCAACACATACATGTATGTATGGCTTATGTCCTATGCTCTTAAATACAAACGTCAAAACCCAAACCGCTTTATGGTAAACTTGAACCATAAAATTTTACAAAATAGATAAAATAATATATGTATAAATATGTTAGGACATTAGCACACATCACCATCTAGTTCCATGGTAAGCTACGAGGCTTTTTTTTTTTTTTTTAACGTTGGGAAATGCATTTACGCACGAAGTGTGGCACTCACCGGCGAAGCCAGTACTACCCACTAAAACCCAACAAAACCTTCCCCCGTCTTAATGGGGCGTCGCAGGATCGCTTACGCATTCAACTACGACGCCCCGACGGCAGGTCTGTCGAAGCAGACCACAACAACCATGGGGTTGCTCCACGGTCCACTCTGCTATCAGAGAAGTACCAGGAGCAACCCGCATGGTACACCGCCCTCCGAAGAAGGCCGCCTCCCACCGCCCACCGAAGCGGGCCACCTCCCTGTGCGTTTCTTGGCTTCGCGAGTACACTACTGAGCCCCCCCCACCACGACAAGGTGAACGCACGTTGGGGGGGAAGCTACGAGGCTTGCCCTATGGATACTAAAAGGATATTATAAATATAAGCACCCTTGACTAAAGTACAAACATTCGTGCTCATCACATAAATGAATACCCCCAGCGGGACTCCAATCCGCGACCGCTGGCACAGCGATTAGGGCTACTACAAAGTTTGTTGTTCAAACTGAGCCAAACGTGTCGTCAAGTTTCCCAGTTTAAAAGTTTCTAATTAAATAGATTAACATCGACTTTCGAAATCAAAGAATATTTTAATTTCATTCAACATTTAATTACAGAGAATTCAGTGAGGACAATAATAGAAAAAAGCAATGCCGATCTCAGTAGGTACAGTAATAAAACCTCACAAGCCAAATTTTAATGTGTTCATTGTCCAAACAGTATATGTACATATAAACTAGAAATCTCAGTTTTATAAGTTAATTAAAACTATGCTAAAGTAATTAAATTTCATCCCACATTGATATACGTTTTGTTTCTCTCAGAACTCGTTTTTAAGTTTAAATGAAGCAGACCTATCCACTATTCCGCTGTGAAGATTTATCTCTTTACCACCCTTCAACCACCCTCGGGGTAGAAATATTTACATAAACGGTTCAGAAATCTGATGTTTCTTTTGTGGCATATGCTTAGCGTTAACTCAACAATGAACCTTCGCTTGCAATTACGGTTGAAGTAACATAAAATGAACAAATACTGTTAAGTAATCATCGCTATAAATACAAAGTTAGAAAAGAACTGCTTTAGTATATTAACAAAAAATAAAAGAAAATGGTAGATATATAACAATGTACGAAAATATTTGTAATTTAAACGTATACCTATAATAGTCTATTAGAATTATTTGATTCAAAAGTCTCATATATTCTTGTGTTCATGTCACAAGTAATTAGAGGTCACCGAAATCGTTTTTTTTTGTAAATCTTGTTTCGTTTGCTCAAAGTTATATTTCAATACGTTAAAAAAGTATGATCAAAAATAATATTTCACGCGATCTACCGTTTTTGATATACATAGAGCGCAAGTAATGAGAGGCGC